ATTGGGGGCGCATGGGGCGGGACGACACGCGGGTGGGAAGGGCCGCTCGGGCGAGGTCTATCGAGAAAAGCAGCTTCTGGAGCACGTTAGCACGCGATCGCAGCCGAGTGGCCAGGTATGCCGGGACGGAGGCGGTGCGCGTGCAGGGCGAGGGTACGCGCGGTCTGCTCTGGGCACACACCGCCGTGCGGATGCGCAGGTCTTTGGGGGGTATCTGTAGCGTCTGCCGCCAGTCTCCGGTTTCGGCCGCCATGCTGAGCCCGTTGCTGTCTCGTGAGCGTCTCTGGGCAATCTGGTCTCTGGTCGATCTCTCTCCCTGCCGTCCCTGTCCGCGGTGATGTTATGGGATCCAATCAGAAAGTTATACGGCGAAGAATTGCCGACTGAGAAAGGCTGCGGCTCGTGAGCACACAGATCACAAGGCGATCACCAGGCTTTTTGGTTGTTGGGAGCAGGTTGAAGCAGCAAAGCACGTATGAAGAGTTGCCCGCACGGATCCTCGAGACGGTGGAGCGCAAAACCAGGTCGGCGCGCAGTCACTGTCAGCTTGAGCCAGGCTTGAGCTCACCTGAAGGTCGACCAGGTGCGGGGCGCACGGCTATCGGATCACATAGCCTCCCTCGCAGCCCTGTGTGAGAGCTTATCCAAAGCACCTCCATAGGGGAAGAGACAGACTCATAGTGGGGCCGCAACCACTCACCAACTCAACAGCGAACTGCGCCCCGGCCCAGCGCAAGCGGCGCGCCCTACCTCACCTGTGTAAGCGGCCTCGCTTCCTTCTCCACGTATTCATAATTTTGGCGTTCAGCCCTTCGTTTTGTTTCTGAGTTAAATGCTGAGATCAGACTTCAGGCTCCTTGCCTTGAACGGAGGCATGCCTGCCTGGCACACCTCCACAGGCAGCACGTGCCCCTGCCAAGTCCTGGCCTGCCATCTTCTCGTCTGAACAGGTTTCCCCTCTTCCAAAGAATCCTCTGTGGATGCTGTCAATATGGCATGTAATATGATGCTGTATGTGGGGCTCTGGCAGCACTGGCGCTGCTATTGTGGTACCGAGTGACGGGACCCCTGCACCTGAATTAGACAAACATGCAATGCGACAATGGAGGGCCTGCAGCCACAGGAGCCTCACCAGCCTACCACCATGCTGAAGTGCCGCCATCTTCTGGTACGGTGTGAAAAGCTGCGGACTACGGTGCGCTACGCACACTCGCAGAAGCTTCCCGTTTTTGCGTCACCAATGTCAGCAAAACGGTCAAAGCCCGACCACTCTGGCACAGCAGCCATCCTCATTGCAGCAAGATGCCGCCCAAGCAACGCAACATCAGAAAGAAGAGGGCTCTGGAGGAGGAGGAGGATGGGGAAGCCGCGGGCGAGGGGGAGCCCACGGCCGAGATCGAGAAGGCCACCCTGGAGGACCTCAAGCTGCTGCAAAAGCTGCGAAAACGGACAGCTGGTATCCATTCATCGGCCCTCGCAGCCAGCCGCGCCGACGAGGCCGATTTTGGCGAGGAGAACGAGCTGATGGAGGCGTACGTCAAAGCACAGGGCGCTCAGACGGTAGTACTCACGGAGGAGCAGCACATGGAGCGCTACGTGGAGCAGGAGGTCGCGAAGCGGCTGGGCAAGCAGGTCGACGACGGGCTGCAGCGCGCGACGAGCCAGCGGGAGCGCGAGGAGGATGCGCTGTTCGAGGTCCCAGAGGAGCTCAAGGTGCGGCGACGGTGCTGTATCGTGCACATGCTTGCAGAACGGCGGCAGGCGTGCGGCGCCGCGTGGGCGACAGGGCGGCACGGCCCCGCAGCCGCGCCGCTGCCACTCAGCCAGGCCTTACACCGCGCTGTGCTGCCGCACGCTCCCTCCATCGACCCATGCCAACGCTGCCGCAACACGCCCACGTGGCCACGCCTGAAGCAGCAGGCCGGCGCTCCCTCCAAAGC